TTAAAAAAGTGGACAAACGAATTTTGAGTAATTGTAAATGCGTGGTCAAACGATAATGCAAACAAAGTTCGACAATTTTCTTGGATAAAACAAAACAAAACAAAAGTAAAAAAATGAAAAGAAAAGATAAGATAGAAGTAATTAAATATTAGAAAAAAAAAAAAGGTGGTGTAAGTTTTCCTCGTTAATAATTATTATTATTATATTCTTATATATACTCATTTTTTGTGTAATTGCTTTGAAAAATGGCCACTTAATATCGAGTTTCTCGAAACGTGGTGGGTGGCAGTATTTTTTAGATTTAAATAAACGGAAGTATTGGAATAAGGAGAATGAAAGGAAAAAATAATAATTAAAAAAATCGAAAAAAAAAACAAAATAAGAAGAAAAGGAGTTAACTGTCAGCAGTTCACTGTCAATAATAAAATTTTAATTACGCTGTCACGTGTTATTAGGGCCTATTAGGGGCAGGGATAATGGAATAAAAAAACAAAGGACAGAGATATGTTTAATTAATTATACATGTATTCTATATATACATATAATATAATACGCGCGCGCGCACGCACACACACACCACACATACACACAATGTAGGAGATTTTTCAGAAGGCTGATATTATTCCTCGTTTATAATTTTTTAGCTCCCATCATTCCGATTTTTAAGTAAAATTAAAAGAAAAAGAGAGAAAAAAAGAAAAACAAAAAGAAAGAGAAAAATATTTTTCACTTGTAGTAATATACGATTTAATGACAATTAAATTTTCGAGAAACTAATCAAAATATCTCTCAGTGTTCTCTTCTTCGTCTGTTTAGAGGGCTTTACTATTTTAAATATATATATAAATAGAGATAAATCATTTTTCTTTTCTCAATTGTGTGTATCTTTCCCTATAGGATGAAATAATTTTGCGAGCTGAGAAAGAGAAAATAAATAAATAAATAAAAAAAGAAACGCAAAATGAACGAACATAGGACCAAGTTTCGCATATTAAAATTCGACATGCGTTGAAGAATTAATTGTAAAGTTCCAGAAGGTATTTGTTGTAAATATAATACGAAAGTTATCTCTAATGTTCGTGATGATAATCGTTAACGATCGTATTATTAGAATAATATATCATTTGGATTTTTATTTTCACATACACACTCACACACACACACAATTCATCTTTTTTCTTTTTTTCTTTTTGATTTAAAAAAAACGCGTAGGAAAGAAAAGAACAAAAAGACACAAAAAAAAAAAGAAAAGAACAATTATAAACTAGGAGAGAGAAACAAAATTGTTCACATCTTTCGATTAACGTATTATTAACGAAAAATTAAAAATGAAGAAATAGAAATATAAAACAAAAAAAAGAATAAAAGAAAAAAATTAAAGACAAGTATTCTCGAGACTGTTTAAGCGTCTAATCTATTAACACACGTGCATAAATATCCGGCTATCCGATATAATTATTATAAATAATATATCTATGCAAAAAAGAGAAAAAGGAAAAACAAAAAAAAAAAGAATTGATATAACAATGTTAAATTATTAGACACGAAGAACTTTGTCCGAATTATTCGAGGGACGACGACTTTTAGCGGATTCTAAAGTTATTGTAAAAGTGCATCATATAGCAAGATAATAATACACAGACTACGAAAAATAATTTTGAAAAAAAATTAAAAACGATGTTTCTCTCATTCTCTAAACGTGTGTTTGGCAAAAGAATAAATAAATAAATAAATAAATAAATGAATGAACAAAAAAAATCAATTAATTTAATAATATCGATATTAATATTAAATAAAATAATGAAAATACTTTTGTGGGATGCGAGACGCGAGGATCGCTTCTTATTATTATTATAATATATTATAAAAAGGAAAAAAATGGGGGAAAAAAAAAAAAATAAGAAAAAAGAAAAAAAAACTTTAGGATATATATATTTAAAATATGTATGTATTATAATAATAATAATAATAATACGTATAAACGTAGTCGAGAGAGAAAGAAAAAGAGAAACTGAGGAATATAGATTATGTTTTAGAGGCACGTGAATAATAAGAAAAGTAAAAAAAAAAAAAAAAGATAAGAGAAAGGAGTGCAAAGAAGCTTGGAGAAAAATCGTTGACGAAGAATTATTTTTTACATGTATGCGCAAAAGAACAAATGTAAAAGATGCCTTGCTTGAATTGAGAAACGTTGTGCTTATGAAAATCGAAATAAATATAAAAAAAAAAAAAAAAATAGTACAATTGTGCAACAAATATTTGTGGTAGAGTTAATAAGGGTATATTAAAAAAAAAAAAAAAATAAGTTCAATTCGATTTTCATTAGCAAATAATTATAATATTGCTGGTTAGTCTCTCTCTCTCTCTCTCAACCCTCCCTCCCTCTCCTTCTCTCTCTCTCTCTCTCTCTCTCTCTCTCTCTCTTTCTCTTGATTATTTACAAGAAAAAACTTATACATACATAAATACATACTAGTAACATATGCAGGATAGATAAAAGACACATATAAGACACACACACACAGCGGAATTAAAATAATCAGGACTTCCCCTGTGCCTAAATATCGTTTCCAGGTTATAGAACCTGTGTTGTAGAGAAAACGTTTAAATCGAAGACAACGACGATTTGATGAAAATGTTGATGATAATGATGATGATGATGATGATGATGATGAAAATGATGAGAACAATTGAAAGGTCAATGATCGTCGAAGATGAACGATAAGAGAAAGAAATAGAAGAAAGATGAAGAATTAAAAAGAAAAAAAGAAGAAGAAGATTAGAAAATAAAAGAAAAGAAAAAAAAAGAATAAAAAGAAGCTACAAGATAAAAAGATTATCGTGAGAAACGTGATCTGCCAATTAGTTAAGGAATTCAGACTACGAGGAAGACGAGAGTACCTCAGAATTATTTTTATATTATTTGCTCAAATGTATGTGTACGTATACGTATATATATATATCCTGTGAAACGCGCGAAACGTAAAATTTAAAATATCGATAAACGTGAGAGATATCCTACGTCATCGTCTATGGAACAGAAAAAAGAGAGAAGTTTCTTTTTTTTTCTCATGGTGTGCGAACGTTTTTTGAAAACGATATCATTGCTTAGAAATAAAAAAAAAAAAAAAAAAAGAAAGAAATTAACAACGGATAGAAAGTATACATGCAACAAGAAACACAAGAACAACAACACGATAATAAAAATGATGTAAAAGATGTTCTCGATATTGGTTAACAAATATTTCAACAATATTTGAAATACGTTCTGGTTTCGGTTATGGATATATTATGATGTGAATGTAAATAAAGTTTGTTATTCGAGGTGTTTAATTCATTTTATTAATTCTTTACACTCGAGGCCTTTTTTGCTCGCGGGCGGACCAACAATTAATAATCTTTTTTTTTTTAATCATTTTAATCCTTACATAGAGTACATATTAAGACACTGCAATTATCCCTACAGTATTTTACGTTTTGTTTTCTTTTTCTTTTTACGGGCTATTAAAATATGTTTTAATAAAGTCCAACAATGGCGCCAATTAGCGCACCAATAGTGTTCCGCTTTATTAGCGTATCAATGGCGCTCAACTTTCGTACCAATGGCGATCCACTAGCGTACCAATGGCGTTCCGCTTTACTAGCGTATCAATGGCGCACCACTAACGTTTCAAAATGGTGTTGCAAGAACACCAGATTAATTGACAATTAATCAGTTATATAGTAATCACTAGCTTTGACAGTGGATTACAGCATTTGATATGTACTTCCATTAACATGTAAGTTTAAAAAACACGCGGTTGAATTAGAGTGTTACAAGTGTCCCGGGGCATGCACTTTAGTTTAGGTTTTTGCACCCTGGTGGTATGTGAGAGAATCGTGAAGTGAATGTGTTGGTGTTTACTCTTTTTAAATATAGGTAATAGGTGGTAAATTATTTTCTGAGTAATTGCGAGAATTTTATAATATTGTATGCAGTTATTAATTCATTAATTTTAAGCAGTTTATAACATGCATATTTACTTTTTATTTTGACGCGTTTAAAAATTGTCCTTTATCAATATCCATACACAGAAACTCTTTTCCTGTAAAAATGAACTTTTATCGATCCTAGCTTTTGTATTATCATATTGTTTGTATTATTGTGTAATCATCTAGTCTTGATATCATAATTTCGTCATTTTGCCATTTTGTGTTAATTAATACTTTGAAGTATTATCTTTCTACCTGTTATATTTCTCAGCTTATGTTCGAAATATACATTTATAGAGTTTCTATAATCTTGATACTACGGGACATGTTGCGCAACGTTGAATTTATTGTTTGTGTTTATATGTACATTGTCAGTAATCATATTTGCTAAATGGCGACTGACGGCTTACGGAATTCTATAATCCTCTTGTCGCCAAATGCCAAACAAAGCTGCTAACGACATAAATAACATCCCTACTCTTAATGAATGATCACTAAAAGATACTTTGATAAGAAATTTGTTAATATCTTTTTAGAAATGCACGGTATAGATATATGTACATATTTACATATGTAGATCAATAATACGACTGTGCATATTATCGTTTCATTATTAATAACTTCATCATTTTTGGATACTTTCTGATATTTTTAATATTAGCTCTATACTATTGTTAGGATTTATTATGCTCTTTATATCAATAATAGAAAAGTAATCGTTACATCAAAAAGTTATACATTATTATTTAGAAAATATATTTCAGATATAATTATTATCAGCCTTCAAGTTTTCTTTACTATCAGATAAGAATACAAAGGAAAGAAAACAAAACGAGAACAAATACTGTTGGAGAAGTTCATTTATTTTCCGTTATCAAAAAACTTATATTCTATAAATTTTAATATATTATATATATAATTTAGAGAATCAACGAAATATTTTCTACAGTGTACATTTATCTCATAATTTCAATTTGATGAAAAATATATTTTTNTATATATATATATATATATATATATGAATATTTCTTATATACATATTTATATGTGTAAAATATCTATTTTTATAATTAATACTATATACAGTTTCTCGTCAATCATTGTGAGCATCCTGAAACGAATAAGAGATCTTTTCTTAGAACGATAAGATACAAATTTGAATTAAAAAAAATATGAAAAATTCTTTGGTAGAATACTTACGTATTTAATGTACGATAGAAAAACGTCGTACACCATAGTCATAACGTTTATGTAAAGTACTCGATATTGTAAAGGAATGAACATAAAGTTTACACATTGAGCCGGAGGCCAGAAACAGCAGTCAACCTAATGAAAAATGTTTTAAAATCAAAGATTACATTTTTTATTTCTTTTTTTATTAAATAATTTACACATAATTTTGTGTTTGCATTCATAAGACATACTTTCCAAGCTTCTATCAACTTCACTTTAATTTCTCTATAAGCTTCTTCGACTTTGTCTCGTTCCATTAGACCAAGACCACCGAAAAATATAATAAGACACGTAGGACTAGCGATTAATTGATCTAGAAAAGTCTTTTTTATAATGGATTTCGCTTTTTTTCCAGGTGCTATTTTTTCAAGTAGACCATAGAAACAATGATGAAAGGGTCCTTGAATCAGACCTACTAATGTCATGTTTCTCGTTCGAACGTAATTGTGTTCGTATAAAGTCGCAACATCCGTAGCCTTTTTTTTCTCTTCTTCTAATATTGTATCTTCCTCTGGGGATGCTGCAATCACGCGAGCAGTTCCACCACTTGAAAAATAATTTTCGTAACGATACTTTTTCCAATGTTCTCTACGTTGTTGTATCAAATCTCCAGCTGCCATCATCAAACCGCAGCTAACAGTATTCGTAATAAGAAGGTATCTGCCTAATATTAAAAGAAAAAACATATATACACATATATATATATACAAATTTTTTTTGTTTAGTATAGGAAGATAATACTTACCAAATAATTTTCGCAGAATATGCATTTGTTAAATGAATAATCTTTTAAAAGAGATGAACCTCAGGAAGAGAGTATAAGATTTAAATAAAATGATCAATGTTTGCAGATCTCAGATACCTTTCCTCTTACGTTTATTCTTCGTAACTCAATTGTCAGGACTATTTATTCTGGGATCAAGTTTTAAGTAATATAAATGAAGACATATATGAAGTAATATTAAAATAACTAAGAAGTTGCATACATGACTTCCATGCATCTATCTTATTAATACCTTTTTTAAACCTTAGCCTTGTGACTCTGAAAATAGATCGTTATTTAAATTCATTAACGCTTGTGTGGATCTTAATTCGTCGGTGCTTATGCAGTTGAAATTGTTTGATTTTAAGTAGCATAACTTTCAGTTATTTTTTGTTGTCTTTCTTTCTTATTTGTTCTTTTCCACAATACAACGTTTCCCCTTTAAGGTTTTATATGCACGAAGCAGTGATGGTACCGATAAGAAAGCTTACCATCGTGTAACAAATTCCGTGTATTACTGACATTTTATAATGGCGAAACCTCTTTAAATATACAAGCGGTTGCTGTCAAAAGAATTGACGCGTTTGCGCAGTACAATCTCTTGCATCGTTTCGTATTTCGTCTATATTACTCACAATCAGTATATGTGTTCTTTCCTATCAGACATTTTTGTCTCTTTAATATATATATATATATATATATATTTTTATTTTTATTTCTCCATTCTCTCAGGCAACAATGTATAGTATACATACGCATGCGTCAAAGTTTATCAGTAAACATTTATTTATTTACTTAGAAAGGTGTTTCATTGCCCACCGTATCTGCAAGTTACTACAATGGAAGAAAACTTAAAAGATTAAGGATAACGGACTTTTTAAATACTGAATTGGATTAGCACACATATGTTCTAGAAGATTGTTTTATTGAAAATTTAAGCTATGTAGCTTGATAACATTATAATGAATTTATGTGGTATATTATTTAGCAGCTACAGTTTTATGCTTTGGTAGGCCCTCTCTGAATCCGTTCCTAAAATAATAGAAAAAAATCGAACCATAACAATTGCACTATCTTGTATGTGAAAAGATTGACAAACACCTTTGTCATTTTTATTTTATATTATTCCAAACAAATGTTTTATATTGACTAAATACCATTGCCCAGTAACCCTTAAATTTTTTTACGATAAAGCGCTTTAAAATGGAAGCTTTAAGTTAAAGAAAAAACAAATGGGCAATTGCTTATTAATTTTTTCTTTTTCTAATGCGATACCTTTCAAAAATATTCATTAATTTTTAAGCATAACCATTTTAATTGCTAATATTTCCATAGCAGAGCCAACAGAGCGTTAAGGGGGATAAATGCAAACTAATAATTAAATAAATAAATTACTACTGTTAATGTATATTATAAAAATAAGATAGTTTAGTGTTAATGGCATCGGTAATCAATAAATATAAGCTTACTTGAATTTACGGCGAACTATTTTCAGATGACGCATTCTACCAGTTCCAGTGGTCTTCCTCCTTTTGGCTTTAATCGACCAGTTGTCTGTAAAATATAATTCAATTAATGTACATATACTTTTCATTATATTGCTGCAGATGATCGTGAAAAGTAGTTGAAATATTTCCAATGTAAAGTTCACTTTGTACAACTTACATGATCTCATCTTTTTCTTAGGATATCCACATTGTGCACATTGTGATTTTTGAATGTGATAAGAACTGCGTCCACATCTTCTACACAATGTGTGCGTCTTATTGCGACGCTTACCAAAACTTGATGTACCCTTCGTCTGTAAATGTTAAAAATTCTACTGTAAATAACTCGTCATTACACACTACACTCATTATCTTAAATGTTATAAATAAATAAATATTGTAAAAGAAGAACAAAACAAAATGAAGATTCAAATATATTCGATAGAATTGAAATTTGTAATGATTTATGTAATTAAGTGAATTTGATGATTTTGTTATCGATATAATCGCACAGAAAACGATCACTATAACGAGTTAACCTAACTACGATAAAACAAATCATACGAAGGCATTTATATCGATTATTATACAATTAATTAATTATTATGATAACTAAACAATGAGTTCATAACATAATTACCCCATGAATACTTAGGATTACTTAATAATAAATCGATGGAAATTACGTGAATAAATTCATACCATATTGCTTGAGCGAACGCACCGAAAGGAACGACGAATAAATGATAGAAACGAAGGCAGTTGCAGCGGTACCAACGAAAAAAAACAAAATATCAATAGTAGGAATATTTTTACCGTTGGTACTATTTTCCCCTTTATATAGTACTATTTGTGATAAACAAATATATTGTTATATACACATTTGTTATATTGTTGGAAATTAAAGTGGGAAAAAAAAAAATAAAATTTATACAAATAATTGAAAAAGGAGTAGAATTTATTTTGTCACACACACTTTAATTTCAATTATAAGTTATTATTAATAAATAATTAAATTTCTATTAATCTGTCAGCTTCAGTTAAAACTTCTCGAGAATGTTGACTGTTTGATATTACAACATGTTGAGCACCAACTATGCAATCCTTTAATTCGGTACCTTCCTCGATGATAGACCCATTACATAAAATGCTGTTATGTATCGAGCATCTACAAATTTGTACAAATATTTAGAATTAGAGAATTTATTCTAATGTATCAGTCGTATGCATTTTTCCTATAATCAAAATATTTTTCTTACTTTTCCTTGATAGTTACATTATCCATTATAACACTGTTTGAGATTCTGGTTTTTGTTTCAACAATTGTATTAAGACCAATGTGACTAAATTTAAGAGACGTTTTCTCATCGACAAATGCATTGTCATCTATACTACAATTATTTACTTGAGTACTTTTAACAGTTGCTAATGGTGATGTATTCAGGAGTAGATTAGATTTAATAATATTAGATGACCAATCGGATATCTGTAATAAAAAATATCATTACTAATCATATACATTACAAGAAAATTGGATGTAAACGAAATAAATGTAATAAACATTAATACATATACCTTGAAATTTGCAAGATGATACATTTGTATAGTGTTGGCTCTTAAACCAAACCCATTGCTCACAATGTGAGCATAACATCTTATTATATCGTCATGATAAGCTTCTTGTAGGTCAGTACTGTGGTCATTAAATGCGGACATTCTTCTTATTAACTTATCTAATGGTTTTGCAACGGCAAAACGGAATATATCTTCTTTTAAGTTTATTTGTACAATCGAATTATTTTTCTCTTCTATAGGTTGCTTAGGCGGTTTTGATAATTGTTTAGCAACTATGTATGGAAGAAGTTCACCTTTCAATGTACTAAAGTTTCTACAAAATACAATGTAAAAGAATAGTTTTCGATCAAAATATTAATACTCTTTTATATCATTACTTACTTATTGAATACTAAAAAATCCAAAACCCATTTCTGGATGATATATACATGTGCATCCATCAGTTTGGAGTGCATGGTAAAACTGGTATGTTTTCTGAGAATTTTTCGTGATATATTCATAGTTTCTTCGAAATCCGAAGCTGATGCCAGGAATACTAAACGTCCTGTTTCATTATCTATTCCAATTAAATCTGTTTCTGGTTTTTGTTTATTTTTGGGTCCTGGAGTAACAAATTCGTCTGGTACTTTGAGCATTGGTAGCATCAATGCTGTAATACTTGCATTATGTTTTCTATATAAATTTAATGTTTCCGAAATATCAATATCTGTGATCAAATCACACGATAATACTAAAAAATCAGTGTGAATCTTTTCATGAATAAGTCTAATTGAATCTGCAGTACCGAGGTCTTCTGCACCTTGTATTCCTATTATTTCTATTTTTATTTTTAAATTTAATTTATCCAACGAGGACGATACATCATTTTTCATTGATTCTGATACTACGACAATACATTCTTTAAATCCACTACGTTCAAGTAGTTGCAATGAAAACCAAATCATTGGTTTATTTCCTATAGGTAATAAACATTTTGGTTGACCAGCTGTGAGTTCGGTCATACGAGACCCTTTTCCTCCAGCTAGTACAATTGCTTGAAACTCAGTGCAAATAACCATCCTTCTTTATATTTGCTGTAAAAACAATTTTTCTTTTCGTTACAATACACAATACTTACAACAACAACAATATGTTTGCAAAAAGAGAGATATATAGAATATGTGAGAATTTTAACTTAGAGATAACCTAGCTTTAGTTAGATTTTTATATAAATGACATTGGATAGAATTACGAATTGCTGGCTTGGATAATTAATATTAATTATCCAAAAACTTGTGTTTTGACTAAAAAAAGAAATAAATTATAAATGGCATTTACATTGAAATAATATCAGAGGTTGTAAAATATGCGGTTGTATAGTACGCTTTAGAAGATTCGCTCAATTGACTTTATACGAGCACGTGTTTTGAACTATACTTAAAGTCTAACCTCAAATTGACGTGTCCTCTCGTTTGAAAAGATTGTTATTAAAAAGTTAACTTTGTGAAATAAAACAAGAAGATATTAATAAAATATAAAAACATGAGTGAAGTCGAGGATGATATTAAAGCAGGAAATTATGTAATAGTGAAGAAACAAAAGTATACAAAATTATACAAGGTATCAAACAAAGGTATATTAATGTTAGGAAAGGATGAAATAAATATGGAAGAAATAATTGGTAAACCTTATTGGACAACTTTTGAAATGGTACCATCGAAAAATAATAAAAGATCTTATACATTAAAAGTTATAAAAGGGGCAGAATCTTGGAACGATTTAAAGAACAATTCGTCGAGTGGTTTAGATAATCGTTGTATCACCAACGATGGTACTTCGCAGAAATTGTCAAAAGAAGAAATCTTGGAACTTCAAGAATCTGGAAAGTCTGGCAAAGAGATAGTTGGTACTCTTATAGAGAACAGTAGATCTTTTTCAGCCAAAACTGAGTACTCTCAAGAAAAGTACATCAAGAAAAAAGAACAGAAATACTTTCGTTACTTAACGATATGTAAACCTACTATAATGTCCTTACACGAAGTATACTTTAGACAAGATCATGCACGATTAGGAGGATTAAGAATGGATGCTCTTTCTCAATTGTTATCATACAGCGATGTTCAATCGGATGGTTTATACATGTTATATGATAGCGGCTCGTTAGGATTACCAAGTGCTGCCATGCTACATAGAATTGGAGCAAATACTACAGGTTTATTAATAAATTTGCATCCTGGAAATATACCTCAGTTAACTATCATTCAAGCTATGAATTTTCCTAAAGAACAGCTTGAAAGGCATTTAACGGTTAATATTTATAGCTTCATAAGATTATATAATCAAGGAGAATCTTTGTCATCAGACGACGTATCTCTTTGTAGAACAGTTTCCGATTCCAATACTTCTCAATCTGGAAACAATGAAGTATTGCTAAGCAGTAGTAATGATTATAGAAAAGAAACTGAAGTAGAAAATGACAAAGAAGTATTAAAAATTGACCAAATCATTGATAGCAATATCAATGAAACCATAAACAATGGATCGATCAGTTTAGATGCTATGCAAGCAGAAACAAATCCAACTATAGAGAATGTGACTAATACCGATGAACTTATGAAAGAAGAAAAAGTTGAAAATAAAAATACTTTAAAACGTAAATTAAATGATCACATTGAAAATGAACCAGTTAAGAAGCCAAAATGGTTAATAGAGACGCAATTTATATTAGACCTTTTGAAAAATTCTAAAGCTCGAAGTTTAGTTATCGTAGCTAAAGAACATCCTTTAGAAATTGTGAAATTTTTATTACCATTTCTCGGCGCATCTAGACCATTTGTAATATTTCATACTCATAGAGAACCTTTGCAGGAAACATACATGGCTCTTAAACAAACACAAAATGTAGTGAATTTAAGGCTGTTTTCTAATTTCTTACGTTCTTATCAAATATTACAAGACAGGACACATCCAGATATTTTAACGAGCGATACGGGTGGTTACATTTTAACAGGATATTTAGTTGAATAATTATGTAAAAATATATTATAACTTAATTTCCATCAAAAATAATGTTAGACATATACCTGCATACTATACATTGTATATATATGTAACATTATCAAAATATTGTTATGATTTTTGTATGAAAGAAAAGAAAAATCATATAAATACTTTTTATACCTATCGGAATACAATCATTTAATAATTTATTTTAATGTGAGAATATGTTTTGAAACATTTAATAATTCTTATTCAATGATAGTATGATTCTTAGGTAATTTAGTTCGTTGAAAATGTATAATAAAACTAGTTTTTTCCAATCGGAAGGAAGTAAGAAATCCATTATTAATGAGTTTTTTTTTTGTCTTTATACTTGGTAACAGAAAGTGATACTCATTCTTAAGTAATGACGAATAATTTCATTTATATCTTCCTTTTTTTTTTGTAGATTTATTATATTCATAAATAAACGGTTCAGTTAATTATCTCAAATTTGCATTTTTCCTTTTTGTAACGTTGAGAGGTATGGGAAAGGTAAACCAATGGCGACGATGAATTGAAATATGTAGAAAATTTCCATTTAAAATATCACATTAATTCATGAACGCATATACGCTTTCTTTCTCTGTGTGTGTGTATTACGCGCGCGCATATATATACATACATACATACCCATACACAAGACAATTTATACAAGCATAGAATTTGTTCAATTTATTTGGAAATATTTGTCTAAATATAAATATATAATTTATGCATATAGGTAACATCTATGTACCATTTTCCATGAATATTAGTGCAGGTGAGATGACGATAGGAAATAACTGAAAGATATAAAAGTATTCGAGAGTATTTATGTCGCGATCATAAAATGGAGGAGGGAGATTTGTTGTATACTCAACCGAGGTAGGTCGAAGTAACAGCTCTCTTTCTCTTTAGTCTACTGCTTGACGATTTACAGTCGATACACGTATATTCGCATAAATATATATATCGGTCCATATTTAGTAAATTCTTCATTTATCGGTTTTATCTCTTGTATTTCTTTATCTCACTTTTTATTTCTTCTTCTTCTTCTTCTTTTTCTTTTTCTTTTTCTATTTAACTTTTTTCCTTCCTTTTTGATTTGTATTTTATTTTGTTTCTCTCTCTCTTTCTCTCTCTCTCTCTTTTTCCGATTTTTTCAAACATACCATACACGAACGAGTAAAACAATAATAATAATGAGAACCACATCAACAATATAGAGGCCGATTAACGGGTTTCATAAAAAAAAAAGAATAAAAAAGTAGAATAAAATAATATATTTTTATATTGAGACGCGAGATCGATGAAAAAAAGTCATACGTGAGTGCAAGAGGACTATGGAATAAAATTATTCGAATGGAAAAAAATTAGTGTTTATTCATTGAGAGATTTTAATTTCAAATACATTCTAAATCTTAAAAGGAAATCTACATTTCTTCTTCTTCTTTTTTTTTTTTTTTTTTTGTTTTTAAATCAACGCTGTGCAAAATAATATCAAATATCAATCTATGGTGCGATGGTATCGATTATTTTCGTTTGTACGACGACGTTATCGATTATTACACGAGCCTGTTAAATCAATTTTGTATTTTTAATAATTAGTGCATGTTTCATATTTTTCCTCTTTTCATTCTTTTTCTTCAAGAGGATCAATTTTGTCAAATATAATTTCTAAGATGTCCGCCAATAACGTTGGAAATGGGAATCATATAACACCGATAGTATCGAACACGATCGATGATAAAACTCGCGTAAGTATTAGGATTATATATTTACTTTGATGTTTTATAATAATAAAAATACAACAACAAAAAGAGATGTATATATATATAATATTATAAACTTTATTCAATATGCATATTTATATCTAGCAGATTGTGTGTGTGTGTGTTTGTGTATGCATATTTTATACGCAATATAAATATACATACAGGAAGAATCAAAGGTTCTTACAGAGGATTTTTATAATCATTTACTTTATTTCGAAAAAATCCTAAAGAAAACTTGTGATTTATTTTAGCACATATATACGTACATAATTTTATACAATTTAATATAATTCGATAATTATACATATAGTAATCTTGTTTAATATCCAAAAATTCGCTTAAGTATTATTGTATCGTTAACGACAGTAAAATCTTTGATATGATTTAAATCTCGCGCATATAATATTTGCCTATATATAGACATGTAAGAAAAAAATACGAATATTTTTGTTCATAAAGTTTTACAAATAAAATAGAGGATAGGTAGAAAAAACGGATATGATTTGTTAAAATCCGTTAGAGAAAGGGAGAAAAGAAAGCAAGTATATTCTCCAATTAACAAGGAGGACAACGAGGTGTCGAAGATTTTCTAGATTTTCTCTGTTCTCTTATAAGAGAGATGAAAGCGGATTAATGCGGAGAGATTCTAGAACTTTTCATATTTGCGCTTTCTCGACCTATTATTTTTCAAAGCGAATATAATTATATAGTATATTTATATAATCAGATAATATATATGTATAAAACGCATTTACATTTTTCGTTATGTCTTTTTTTTATCAACGTATTAATTGAACGTATAATTATATGCATTAAACATTTTCTTATCGAATATATTATTTTTTTTGTTTTTGTTTTGGTAATTAAATATAAATTGTAATCCTAGCACCATCTAGTGGCAGATTAATAAAATGTAGTTATCATTCATAAAATTTCGGCTTTCATTGTGAAAGAGTATAGTTTTTTATATTTTATTATTGATAAATGATATATCATTTGTAAATATATAGCTCAGTTTGACGACTAACTGTTTAATGTATAACCATTGTTGTTTGTGAAACTAGGTCATACTGTTTTCTGTGATAATTGTGTAGTACTTATATCTCCGTTCAACGATTGTATATGTAGGTTAACTTACGGTTTATTTTATTTACATGTCAAATTTGTAATATTAAGTAAGTAAACAAATATACTGTGTGTAATATATATATATATATTATTTTATTGTGATCACTTTAAATTCGGCTTTTCGAAAATATTATCAATATTGTGTCTGCAAGAGATTTAATTCATATAAATGTTATTGCTATTAATGATGCAAAATTACTTAAGTGAGTCATTTTTACAATAAAAACAATCAATAGTATATATTGGTCATGTTAATTGTGAGAGTTCTTTTGCTCGTACAAGTTTTTTAATCGGTATACTATTATTTACATTAAAATTACCTTTTTTTAGTAGTTTTTTTTGAGAAATGAACGTATATCAAATGACGTAGATTATTTTTGCTATTATTTAGAAGTAAATTATAGTTAAAAATATCTTCATTTTTCTTAGATTGATTTCTACTTGCATTCAATGTTATAATTTATACTTTTCCATTAAAATTATATTGAGTTAATAGCATGAGTATTGTGATAACAATATTTTATAAACAGAGAACAGGATTATAATACTACATGTGTGACGTTAATATTTAACGTTTCTCTCTCTCATAGTTTATATTTTATAATATAATTATAATATAATTATTCACAATTTTAGTTGAAAAACTTGATAGTTTTTAGAAAAATATTGTACAAAAATATTGTCAAAATTTTAAATACAATTTCCTCATATTTCTTGTTTTTT